CATATGGAAATTCAGGAACTGGCCAGAAGTGAGATTCTTTTCCACATCTGGGTAATATAGTGAGATTGACACCCTGTGGGTGGTAAAGCATTATGAACATTTCTTATAAACCATGAATTATACGTGTCTGTGTTGTAAGTGATGTTTAAGTGCATATACCAGGGAAGAGAAACTTAGCATTTATCTGTGTGGTAAGTTGTTATATATCCCGATGATAATAAAGTAAAACCACAGACTAATTTGGAAATGATCTTTAATTTTGAGCATTTGCTGTAAAATTAATATTTCTCTTTAAAATAAAAAGTGTATATACAAATGACAATGATGTTTATCCTGAGATTAACTTAATGTATTGAAAAATACTTTAAGTTCACTGTATTTTTTCAATGAATAAGGCTGTTACACTAATGATTTAGAATTAATAAAACTAATAGGTTAAGAATGAATGTGTTGTCTAGAAACAAACGGGGCATCCCTCATTATCATGCCACCTTGGATAACCAGCGTGCTGATCAGAATGTTAGATAATGCTTGTACATCTACGCCTGTTTCTATATAGTGGCACATCTGACTCTATGGGGTAGCTTTTAATGCACAATACTACCATGTTAGGTTCTCTGTATGTATATTTAACAAGAACCATTCCTATGTAAAATGTGTGTATACAGTTGTATGCATTCATTCTTTTTGTGAACCTCTGCATTGCAAAGAAGTAGTCTGGAAATTTGTAAAGCACTAAAGCACAACCACAAAAGAAAATGGTGTGCAGTTATTAAACTTGAGGTAGCTTGCCCTGGCCAGTGTGGCTCAGTGGTTGGAGCATCATACTGTAACCAAAAGGTTGTGGGTTCAATTCCCAGTCAGGGTACACACCTAGATTGTGGGTTCATCCCCAGTCTGGACGTATGATTCCCTAGTCCCAGCGTGGATCCCCAGTCTGGGTGCTATGAAGGCAACCAATTGATTCTTTTCTCGCATCGATGTTTCTCCTTTCTCTCTCGCTCTCGCTCTCTCTCTCTCTCAGAAAGCAAATGAAAATGTCATTGGGTAAGGATAAAAATATTTAAAAATAAACTTGATGTAGCTTAATTGTAATATTTAGTTTTTAAAAGTTTTTTTCTATTTTCTATGGAAAAGACTGATGTTTGAAAAATAGAAGCAATGCTTGATTTATTTTTGTATTTAGGATATTTTAAATAAATGATTGTCCGATAACAGTATAATAGTTGTAAAGTGCTTTAAGTAAATAAGCTTTCTGATTCTGTGTGATGATTATGATGGATTTTTAGTAGGTACAAGTGCATGTTTATTTGCTGCTTTAAATACAGGACTTAGAATATTTAGATCAGTAAAGAAACAATTTTTCTTTAATGCAGTAAAGAAACTGCATTAATTTTTCTAATTTTGTTTTACGTTTGAATTTTTTGGTGAATGAGAAGATGTGTAAAAGTTTTTGCTTTTCCCAGTTATCTCTCCAATTTCACCACTGGAATGTAGACATTTTGCATTATTGTGGAATTCAAAACACTTCTGTGCTTTCTTTGGCAGAGGCTGCTACTCACTTTTCAATTTCCATTCTCTCCTTTGTCCTTTAGTAAACCCCACATTTTAGCTTGTTATATTTACCTTACATCCAGTGGGGGGAAATAAGTACTTCCCAGACTCCCTTAAAACTAGGTGGGGTTATTTCACTAAGTTCTGGCCAAAGAAATGTGAATAGTAGGGATCTGTGCCTCTTAAAAGAAAGGGTATGCTTTCCAAGCCCTTTGCCCTTCTATAAAGCCACAGGCCTGAAGGTAACTGCCAAGGACAGTGGAGTGGACCAACATGGAAGGAAGAAGTTTCATCACTTAGCCATATCGACGGTGGGCCAGCAGTCCAGATTTCTCTTGTTTAAGCAATTTTTTTTATTCCTACTTTATTTTGGGGTTTCTTTCTTCTGGCATCTATTTTATTTCCCTTTCTATATAGGCTTGTCAAAATGAGTTGTGAAATATTAAGAAAAGTGCAGGCTCTCTGTGTTCTTGGATTATGTTTTGGAAAGGTTTAATCCCATTGCTCTAATGGAGGCTCAGTAGATATTTGTTTAATTCCATGAGTAAAGTTAATGTGACAGATTGCAAAGGTGGAGATGAGAGTGAAGTTTGGTCTCACTTTAGGTAGATTCTCATGATCCCAAAAGACCATGACTCTAAATTTGAGTTCCTGAACTGTACAGTATATGCTGGCCCAACATCATTTGGGGAGTAGTTCATTAAGAGGGACTCGAGGTTCTAGACCTGCACTGACCAATATGCTGGCTGCTAGCCATATTAAATATTTAATCAGGAATTTTAATTAAATTTTATTTTCCCATTACAGCCACACATGGCATGTGCCTATGATATTGTACAGTGCAGATATAGAACTTTACCATCATCACAGAAAATCCTATGGGACAGTTCTATTCTAGATGTTGAGGGCGAATGTATACATTTTGTATTTCTCTGAAGTTCCACATGATATGGCATCATACAGATGTAGTGAAGGGACGCTTTCAGACATCACGCTGCACCTAAGGACATGCTCAGGGATCGAGCTGCAGGTGAATTCTTCAGCTGCCTGCGATTATGATGGTGAAGCACTCCCCATGCCTTTGCTCAACTAGGATGCAGCACCTTGCTCTCAGTAACTGGTAAATGCTTGAAGGAGGGAGCATGTGGTGCTTGGAGAAGACTTGCCTGCACCCCGCCCCCCCATGTGAAACCTTTCGGTTTTAAAACTGCATTGAACAGGAAGCTAAATTGGCTAACTTACAGAGTTATGTAAATTGTATACTTATTAGGCTGCAAATTGCAATGACCAAAATGAGGCTTCTTACAAATGAATAGGACAAGCAGAATGTTATCTCAGCAATCACAAAAGTGAGGGACCCTATGGAAACTTCATTCAGTGGCAGAAAGGAGCAGTTCTCAGAGTTTGGGGGTGGGGAAATGGGGATAGGTCTACATTTTTGTTGCACCCTACTGAGTCCCATGCTATGTTTGTAAATTTTATTCTCATCACCACTGAGTGAAGTTTTTACCTTCATACCCATGTTTCAGAGGAAGAAAATAGAGGCTTGCCAGGTTAAATGCCTTGCTCAAAGTTACAGTTTAGGGTGAGAAGAGAAGAAACTCAAGGTCCCTGGAATGTCCTCCCTTCCCCATACCCTCCCCATTCCCTCTTTGGTCGTTTAGCAACAGGCTGACTCAGTAGGCCGGAGTTAGCTTAAGGGGAGAACAGCCTGACACCAGACTGGACCCGAGAATGAAGATGCCTACTAAGAAGGGTTCTTTGTGTTGTAAGTGGGCTTAAATTATAAAAACAAACCAAAACAGGGCCTTAGCAGCCATTTCTATACAGGGGCCTCTCATACAGGAAATGATACTTCAGGGAGAAGCCAGCACTAAGCCACCCGCCTCCTTCACTGAACTACGTTTTTACACAGTGTTTCTGCCATTTGAGCTCGTCCTTGAGGAGTTTTGGGAATCTTGTGTCAACCAGTAGGACTGAGGCTTCCGTGTCCCATTAAAGCAGTGCAGCTTTATCCCCATCAACATCGTCACCAGCCATCAGAGCAGCTCCCTTCTGACCAACAAGGCCGTGCTTTCTGCACCAGTCAAAAATGCAAGCATTTGGAGTCCTCATCTGCATGAAGATGGGTCAATCAGGGACCAGAGATGGGGACATCTGTCTTCATAAGCCATCCCTCCTCTGGCTTGGGGAGCACACTTTCCGTTTCCACCAGACAGAAGACTGTGCCATTGCTGGAGTGGTGGGTAAGAGACCTGTACAGGAGCAGAGGGAAGCAGACTGGTGCAGAGTGGACTGGACCAGAGCTGAGTAGACCAGTGTGAGGAGGGAAGAACAGAGCTGTCCAGCTCAAGAGAAACATGGCTCCAGGGTTACCTGGCCCCAGGGCTGCCTCACAGCCCTGCTGTTTTCACAGCCTTGCTCTATCACCACTGAGCTGTTCTGCACTGAGTGCACTTTCCTTCACCACACCTCACATTGTGAATTCCTCTTGGTGTTGAATTGGCACCAAGGAGCAGTTGTTAATAAGAGTTAGCTCTCTGAATTCCCTGTTCTCACAAAGCAGCTTCCTCACCCAGGAAGCTGTCCTGATTACTTACTTAACTTGCCAGCTCTGGCTGCCTCCTGTCTGTAAATATGTAGGGCATTCCCAGAGTCCCTTTGCTGGAACCTCTCCCTGTGGCATGCAGGTTAGCTCTGCCTGGCCTGGGCACATTTCCACATAAACTTAGATTATCCTGTGTGTCCTGCTCCTTTTCCTGCTTGTAAGCCCTCCGACTCCAGACCAAGTCTGATATTTACAGAGCAGCATGTGTGTCTGTGCATCTGCAGAACAGTGGCCGAGAAAAAATTCATAGCCTGGATTGCCTGGGGGTGAAATCTGTGCCTTGGCTAGGATGCCACAGAAAATGTCATATCCTTGCACATTACTTTTCAGACACTGATGCAAAGGAAAGAGGGTAAGCAGCCTTGGAGCCTTCAAACTAGGCAAGAAAAAAAGTCACAGAAGTCAGATAAAATCTTTCTGTAATGCTTGGGCAGGATGAAGCTTCACATTAGAATCTCTCTAATGAGTTTTTTGGGGGAAAAAGGAGTCATTTTACATTGCCAGAAACTTCAGTCACTCCCAGTCATCTACTCCCCAAAGTTTCACATTAATTATGGCTGTACTGTCTTGGCTGTGGGTCCCATTCCATCTGTTAGGTTGGGATGAGACCTGGTGGCTTTACATTTATTCCACAAGGAGTGTGCGAAAGCCTGTCCATCTACAATCAGTACAAATGCACAGTTGAGTCGGAACAGAACTCAGATGCTTTCAACACAGTTCTTCATTTTATGGAAGATGAGGCTGATCATATTATGTTAAGTATTTTGGCTGATTTCTCAGTCTCCTACTCAGGTGATCTGATTGTAAAAAAAAAAAAAAAAGGAAATGTAAGACAAGATCGAAGACACTTAGCAAGTTCAAGGCCTGATGTGATTGGTTTTACTTTAGAAATATAATTGGGGGTGTGTTCCAGAGATACATGATTTGCTCAAGGCTACACTGGGGGCAATAAAACTGGATTTGAATCCAGTTTCCTCTGATTCCATTTCCTACACTCTGCTCAGAGCCACTTCCACTCTGCTCCCCTGGTCCACAGCAGGGGGCCGAGACTTCAGAGGAACATGCCCATTCCCTTCTCCTTCCCTACCACCTTCATGCCCGAGGAATAGCACAGATGCGGTAGTTGACTGGGGAGATGGTGATGCCCATTCTGAAATCCAGGCTCAGCTTCTCATTGTCTGGGGCCTTAAAGGTAAATTTTTGCAAAAGAGTGGTGAAGAAAATAAACAGCTCAGCCTTGGCCAGCTGTTCTCCAAGACACACCCGCTTTCCTGAAAAACAAGAACATAAGACAAGTTATCTTTCCAGCTGACGTCAGAGACCCCCAAAGACTGAAATCTACCACATGTGGCAAAACTTGAATAGAAGAATGGCCTGCTAGGCCCTGGGGCTTTATACAGAGGCTTATGTAACCTGACCACCACTGGGTTAAGTAAAACACAGAAAACATATGTCTGGACTCATTGCAATGCCTTCTGGGGTCAGGCAGGTGAAGGTGCAGGGCGTAGGCAATGACACCGGTGGGAAGCCTAGAAAGTGGAGGTCTAGCCTACAGCCTGTAAAAAATCAATGAACAAATAACAATGACAAATGCAGAAAACAAAAAGTTAATTTATTTAAGTCCCTAAAAGAGTACTGCCCAAAAGGATAAGCCAATAATGTCAGAACAGGGTTTCTAAAGTGTAAGGCCTCTTTCCCCTAGGTCGTGTTTTCCTCCTTAGTGATCGGGGCCTTTACTGACATGGAAGGCCCTCTACATTGGAACTGCTTCAGCCTCTATCCTTCAATAGTCCTTATGCCTGACAGTCATTCCCTCAATAGTGCCTTTGCCTCTAACGCGGGCCCTAGGCTGGCACCTTCACTCCATGCTCACACTTGGCCTTGTATGGGCCTATCTGAGGCCCAGTTGTGTGAGTCCAGAACTGGAGGCAGAGGACAGAGATCCAATTAAACTCTTCTCACTTTCTAGACATGTGGTTCAAGGCAAATTAATTTCTCTAGGCATTAGTGGAAATATATGTTTAACATGGGAACTGTATTTTATATGTTGCCTGAGCTACACACTGAATCCACATAATAATATAGAGAGCAAAACAAAATATTTTAATACATCTGCTGGATAATATTAAACATTCTAGCTGTAAAATAGCTTATCTGTAACCTCGCCGTGTTAGTTATAAAACAAATCCAGAAGAATACAATTTGAAAGACTACTTTTAAGTAAGTCATTTGGGTGGTAGCATTATTTTTATTTGTATTTTTTTCTTTCTTTTTTTTTTTTTTTTTTGGTGTGCTGAAGACTTTTATTTAATTTTTTTTGTTAATTTTTAAATCATGTTTATTCTATTACAGCTGTCTCAATTTTTCCCCCCTTGCCCTCCTCCACTCATCCAGCCCCGCCCTCCTCTCCCACAGCCAATTCCCACTCTGTCGTCCATGTCCATGGGTCATTCAGACATGTTCTTTGTTTAGTCCCTTTTCTTTCTTTCCATCATTGTCCTCCTTCCTCATCCCTTCCGGTCACTTTCAGTCTGCTCCATGTTTCCATGCCTGTGGTTTATTTTGTTCATTGGTTTATTTTGTTGAATAGATGCCACTTATACATGAGATCATATGGTATTTGCCTTTCACTGACTGGCAAATATTTCACTTAGCATAATATCCTCCAGTTCTATCCATGTTGTCACAAAAGGTAGGAGTTCCTTCTTTTTCTTTTTTTTGTAAATGCAGATTTTATTTATTTATTTATTTATTTATTTATAATGTCAAAATCCATTATAAAATATAAAAAATATAAATCTATTATAAAGTCTCAGCAATTAAAACAACGTGATACCAGCACAGAAATAATCAAGTAGATCCATGAAATAAAATGAGCATTCTAGAAACAAATGTATATATCTAACAATGTAATATATGATTAAGTTGATATTTCAAATTAACGGGGAAAATAAGGCTTGTTCAACAAATAAGGTGCATGAACCACTATTACTTGAAATAATACAAATATAGAGCCCTATTTCACACATTATACAAGAAATATTCAGGTGAGTTAAAAATCAATATGTAGAACCTAAGGAGTTTTAGGGAAAAATACAAAATAATATTTTTCTTAATCTGAAATAAAATCTTCAAACCCAGAAGCTATAAAATAAAATATTGACAATATGACTATATTAAACATTTAAGACTGCACAGTAATGTACATATTAAAAAAAGTTAAAGGACAAGTAATAGAATAGGAAAGTACTTGCAACACATCTAAAAATGGGTTAATAGTTTATTTGTTTGCTTTTAGGGAAAAAGTTATACAAACATCTAATAAAAAATGGATAAAGAATACCAAAAACTCATTTAAAGTTTTTTAAAAATAATAGAAATAGGCAAGGTTTAGTTTCAACAAATAATAAAGTAACAATTAAAATAACACATCATTGTCACAATTAGATTAGTAAGTATTCAAAATATTGGTAATACCAAGTATTGGTGATTGTGAAAGGGACTGGGTATTCATGGACTCCTTTTCTTCATCTTTTTAAAGCAGTCCCTTTACCATATTTTGCAATGCTGGTTTGGTGGAGGTGTATTCTTTTAGCCTTCTTTTGTCTGGGAAGCTCTTTATTTTACCTTCCATTTGGATTGAGAGCCTTGCCAGGCAGAACAGTCTTGGTTGCAGGCCTTTGCTTTTCATGACTTAGAATATTTCTTGCCAATCTTTTCTGGCTTGTAGTGTTTCTGTTGAGAAGGCAGCTGCTAGCCGTACCGGGGCTTCCTTATATGTTATTACCTCTTTCTCCCTTGCTGCCTTTAGGGTTCTCTGTTTGTCTTTGATATTTGCCATTTTAATGATGATGTGTCTTGGAGTGGCCCTCATTGGGTTCCTCTTGAATCAGATCCTTTGTGCTTCCTGGACTTGTGGGACTTTTACTCTCCTCAAATTAGGAAGTTTTCCATTATTACTTTTTCAAACAGCGTCCTCTATCCTTTCCTCCTCTTCCTCTTCTAGTATCCCTATTATGTGGATATTATTACGTTTCAGGTTGTCCTGCATTTCCCTCAATGCCTCTTCATTCTTTTTGAGTCTCTTTTCATTTTCTTGCTCTTTCTGGGAGCTTTTTTCTACCTTATCCTCCAGCTTGCTGATTCGATCTTCTGTTTCATCTAGCCTGCTCTTGATTCCTTCTACTGTGTTCTTCAATTCAGAAATTGTATTCTTCATTTCCTCTTGTCTCTTATTGATAGTTTCTATGTCCTTTTTCATGCTGATATAGTTTGCAGTAAATTCCTCATAGTTTCCCTGTAGTTTGTAATTCTCTCTGAGCTCACTGACCTTCCTTAGAACTGATGTTTTGAACTCAATATCTGATAGTTTACTTGCCTTTATTTCATTGAGTTCTCTTTCTGGGGATTCCTCCTTTCCCTTCGACTGGGAGGTGTTTCTTTGTCTTCCCATTATTTGTGAGACCCTTCTTTTTTGCTTCTGCTTCTTAAATTGATCTGTCTTGATTTCTGACTTTGTGGTGTGAACTTCTATGGGAGGAGACCGCGGTTTTTTCTTTCTGGATATGCCTCTGATGATATCAGATGTTGACCCTGCCTGACCTTAGGCAATCTGTTCAAGAGTTCCAAGAATCTACTGTCTGTGGCTGTCTCCTTAAGCTGTTAATCTAGACACTCTCAGCAGACCGGCTGAGAAAGCACAGGGCAGGCAGAGTTCCTCCTGGGGGCGGGATTATTGGGTCCTCTCACACTACTGTCACTCAGGGGAGTGGTCTGCCTGAACCAGATGCTGCTACCGTATGGGGGAGGAGTCAGCACCAGGATCCCTCCAGCTACTCTTTCAGTTCTCTCCCCAAAGCCTCCTACCCCAGTCTCTCCTCAGGCATCTCTAGCCCACTCTGCCCCCGCCTTTGCCAGAGATTAGGGTAAGTGGCTGCAAATAAAAATTTGTGCATTGGCCCTTTAAAAGGTCTCCAGCTGCCTGTCTCTGGCAGAGATTAACCCTGCCACTTTTCACAGCTGGTTGTTATCTGTGTACTTCTTGAGCTCTGGTGCTGTAAGCTGCAGATCCCTTCGTATGGTTTAGACTCCATTCTTCTCAGGGGGATCCAACTGGCCATTTCAATATCCTTCTGGGGCTGCCACCCTTGGGCACCCTGTTCACCTTCTCGAGTCTCTACCACACTCCTTACCTGTTAGGTTGTGCTAAAGCTGATTCTTCTGTCTTTCCAATGTTATAAGGCTCCTCTCTTGCTATTGTTCAGTTGTTCGTTCCAGGTGATTTCTCCACAATTTAGTCGTAATTCCAGATTGGTCCTGGGAGGAGGTCAGTGTGACTTATACTCACTTCTCTGCCATCTTGATTCTCCCCACATTATTAAAATAGCTTGACGTGTATTACCACTCTTTATTGTGATACTTTCCGCATTGTGCCCTTTATTCTGAAGTAATTTGAAATGTATAGGAAACTTGCAAGAATAATACAACACACTTGTTTTTCCTGAGTCACTTGAGAGTAAATTGCCTACATTACCCATGAATATTTCAGTATGAATTCCCTCAAACAAGGACATTATCCAACATAACCACCAAATCAGGAAATCACCATCATCTATCTTTTTCTTAGGTCCCAAACAGGTTTTGCCAATCTCCCAGTAATGTCCTTTATTTAGTAAAGTATCCAGTTTAGCATCAGGAAGTGACTTCTCAGCTTCCATGCCTTTGGCACAAATGGCAGACCCATTATTTAGTAAATATCTCTCATATTGCCTCATGATTACGTTCAGGTTGTGAGGTCATGCATTTCTGGTGGCCAGATCACCCAAGTGAAGCTGTGTTCTCATTTCACTCTATCAGGTGCGACACAATTTTGATTTGTCCTATTATTGGTGACCATTACGATGGTGTCTACCAGTTCTCCCTTGTAAGATTACTCTTTTTCTCTTTGCAACTAATACTACTTTGAGACTATCTAAATAAACCATTCCTCAATGAACTAGTTTTCATTGCTATTTCTTGGCCAAATTATTAATTACTCTAATGGTTGCCCTATCAGGAATTTTAAAATTCCATCACTCCTTGTACATTATTAGTTAGCATTCTACTAAAGGAAATGCCTTTTCTCCTCCCTTTTTTATTTATTCACTCATTTATTTATGTGTTATGAATTCACAAATTCCTATTTTTATTCAAAGAGTTAAATTTGTTATTAGTGCTTTTATCTCAAGATGCTTGGGATTTGGCTAGTAAATGAGCATTCGAGCTGCTATTTTCTTAATTTGGGGCACAAAAATATTTTCCAGGTTCAGCTTATGCTTTCCCTTCTCCAGCCTGGAATCAGCAAGTTTCACCAGAAAGTCCTGGTTCTGTTCAGTGGATAATGTTATGTAGAAACCAAGATCTATGCATTAGATGAACTCATTGGTATCAAGGTGGTGTTGCTCCCAGGGCATCTCAGTGGGAAGAGCTGAGAAATCTGTGTATGTATATGGCATGAATATATATTTAAATATCTATACACACATCTATATTTATGTCTACATTTACTTTTATATCTATCTATCTACATAGTTATCAAAAATATGAGTTCACATCGATAATGTCTGATTTCAGTCCAACACCACAGAATTAATTCTATTATCTCCCTTTCCCTATTTGTAACTTCTTTCCACTATCCTCAATATGTGTACTTATTGGATCAGTATCCTGTGTATATAACTTATCTTCCATCGTTGCCATAGCCACTCTGTGCAGACCCTGCCTCATCTTGCTTGTGCTCTGACACCCAATCTAGGATTTCACTGTTCCCCGCTTTTGTAAATGCCCTTCTCACCCTTCTTGGGCTACAATACCCCACAGTAGGCACCATGACTATCTCTTTTGTGTGTGTAATAATTTATTTTCTCCCTAAGTAATACATAGTCAATGCAAAAAGGAAAAAAACTATGAAAAAGAAAAGTATAAAATGATGCCATAGTTAACCCCTCTAAGCCTCAGTTTCATTATCTCTAAAGTGGTGATAGTGACATGAACCTTGTAAGGTTACACTAGAACATATGCTCCATGAGAACAGTTGTTTTTTCCTACTTCATTCATTGTCATATCCTCAGGGCTGACTTGCTGGCAACTAATCGCTCAGGAAATGTTTTTAGAACTAAGGAATCGGGAAATTACTTGAAATAATCCATGAAAAATACCTAATTCAACACTAAGAAATGCACTAAGAATTTTTGTTTTTCTTTTACAATGTCATAACACCTTTTTGGAATTGGCTGGCTTGGAAACATGGGAGAGTTGATGCAGCACCCTCTTTTGCACCATTCAAGTTGTTTACCATGTAAATGTATTAACTAGATTTATACAGAACCCTTAAAATTTAAAGAGGCAAAAGGGGAGCGCGTATAGAGTAGAATCCCATGTAGTCCAGCCATGGCATTCAGAGACTCTCCTGATGCCCATAGCGATGAAAGCAAGTAGCTGCTTTCCTTGTCCTTTCCCACCCCCTTATGATACTATAAATTGGCTCTAGTTCAATGTGAGTGAATAGCCCTTAAAAAGAACGTGAGACATTTAAAGGCTCTATAAAGGTGGCAAGTGTCCAACTTTTCTGGGAGCAAGAAGTGAGGTCTGAGTCTTTATCCCCTGTGTTCTGGGTGACAGGACAAAGTGAGGCTGAAGTCTCCATCAGAGGCAAGCAAGGGTTCAGGGAGTGAGGGCTGCCTGAAGCAACGCCAGCCCTGGGAACCCTGATGTGTAACAACAGTAACAGGCGGTCACGCTGGGCAGAGCTATTTGGAGACATTCCAACTAGAGCAAAGGATGATGGGGAGAAAAGCAGGGGAGGGCTGAGAGGGGAACTCTGGATTCATGCACTCTTATTTTTTTCAAACTCACCTATTGAAAAGGGCAGAAAGGCTTCCCTTTTCTTGAACTGTCCATTCTCCAGAAAATGCTCTGGATTGAATGTGTCAGGGGTGGTCCACTCTGCGGGGTCCCTGTGCAGTGCAGTCAGATTGGTCACAAGCATGGTGCCCTAGAGAAGGCAGCAAAGACTCAGGACAGGCTTGACTTATGCAACACACCTATGCAGCGCGGTGGAAGTCCCCTGCTCCCAAGCCAGAGCCTGATCACATCCTCACACTTCTGAGCCCACCATCTTCTGAGCCAAAACAACACCCCCCACCCAATCCCACCCAGGGCCCTAGTCTTTGCCATGGTACAGCTTTCAATGATGGACAGCAAATGCCTTCTGGGAATTTACTAGGGAAATGTGGCTACTCTTGACTGAGTGTGGATCTTTGCTACAGGGACAAGGCAGTGTAGGCCTTGAGAGAGGACATGCAATCTAAGAGCTTTGCCAGTCAGTACTATACCAAAATCAACCCAGATGCTCACGAAGGTGAAAACAATGGCAGTGCTAGCAAAGGAAAAGATGTCTCATTCATCCCTGTGTCTCCCATTTTCTTCCCCTCAATGTCTACTGCACTACACAGGAGGTTTGATAATAGCATCAGGTCACCCAGTAAAAGGAACTACTATCCATGCAAGTACATGGCAAGGAACCCAAGAGTCCTCCTTAAAGCTTTCCTTTCCCTCATTGTGTCTTCAGCGAGACCGGTTGATTTTACTGTAAATTTCTCTTGATTCTGTCCTCTCCTTTCTATTTCCACTGTCTTAGTCCAGGCTAGCACTTTGCTGTCTGTACTCCTGTAATAGCTGGCTAACTGTGCCCCATGTCCTCTCCCCTTTCTAGCTGCTCCACACCCTGAACGCAGAGTGAGCTTTGAACAGGATTCAATCATTTCATACCTGTCTGCCCACCCACCCACACTCTGAACTTGAGAGAACCCTTCATTAGCTTCCCATCACTCTTGGGTGACAGATCCATTGTCTGGCCCCTGCCTGGGCCACTCTCTCTCCGCCTTCATTCCCATTACATTGGCCTCTTTCAGCTTCTCAAAGAGCTCTGTTTCCACTCATTTCTGTAACTTTTTAAATGTTGTTTACAGTGTCTGAACATCTTTCCTACTTTGTCCCTGAGCTAATCCTTAAGCATTTTGCTGTCCTTGGCTCAAACATCGCTTCCTTTGGAAGCCTCCTCTAACCACTCCTGCTTCCACCCCCATTCCAGCTAGCCTTCATCTTTACAGAACCTGTGAGTGTTTTCGGGGGGGCAGTTATCATAGTTTCTAAGTATGTGCTTGCGTGGTTATTTTCCTCAGGGTATTTTCCCAGGCCTGAGCATTTCGGTGCTTAATGAATGTTTGTTGATTGAATTAAGAATAACTGCTATTTTAAGTATTTACCATATTAAGCACTAGATTTAATGTTCTATATACATAGCCTCATTTTACTTCCACCTGTGAGGTAGGCTTCCGTGCATTTTACAAATAAAGAAAATGCAGCTCTGAGAGGTTAAATAACATGCCCGAAGTCACATAATGAAAGGAGGTTGAACCATGATTTGAACCAGGCCTATCTGACGTCAAAGCCACGGCTCCTAGCCTCTCTAACATAGTAACTTAGATCTATCAGTTCTCAGGTGGCTATTAAAGTTGGCATTAAAAATCAGTGGCAGGTCTGGGATGGTTCCCTGGAGCTTAAACGAATTGCGGCAACAATGAAAGCAGCACCTGTGAAATACTTTAGACCTCAGCCTTCACCTCTAACATGGTCAATCAGCTAGACACAGTGAATGCAATCGCTACAGGTATAGCTGCTTTTCCTGAGTCTGCAGGGATAATGACCAAAACATGTGCAATGGGTAAGCGCCCCCACCCCCGGTTTTGCCTCTTAAATTTGTCTCCAAGTAGGACACATGCAGAGGAACAGAGACACCCAGAATGGACCCACAGAGGCTGACCAAGGTGGTGAGAAAGCAAGGGAGCTGTAAATGTGCAGTGTGGAGAGAGGGCGCCAGGGGGCACAGGAGAGCTGTTTGCTGAGATCATAAACCTGGTGGGCAGAGTGAGATCAGAATTTCCTCTGTGAGGACAAGGAATTGAGCAGGGAGGAACTGAGAGCAATCCCAAGAAGACTCTTTTAAGGTCAAAGTAAAACAACTCCTGTATAGAGAACATAAATGAGCCTGGGAATCAGAAGAGATCTGGTTCTTGAACCCAACTGTGGTCACTTTGTAGTTGAGAGATCTAACCAAGCTGAATCGCTATGAGCCCCGACTTCCCAATTTATATAATAGAAATAACAGACTTCATCTGAGAACTGATTAAGGCATTCTGAAAGAACCTATGTAGTCCATGGCCCATAATTACTTGCTCAATAAGTGTTGGTTCCTTTCTTTCATTTTCCTCTACTTAATATGGCACAAACTTGGTTTCTCTTATGGGACAGATCCCACCGCACCCGCCCCCACCAAGGGGCTGCAAGTAAAAGCCAAAACAACCTCTGTGGGAATGTTATGTTAGATGTTGGCCCAGGTGGTCTCAGTTGTCCCTTCATATTTTAAATTCTATAACCCCAGGATTGTGAAGCAGAATTTTAGTAAGTATGGCAAGTCCCTAGTCCCGAAAGATGCTCTACCAAGGCAAAGAAGAAAATTCCATGGCAAAGTCTACTAAGAATGGCTGCCTGCTATATCTCCAAAAGACTCACAATACCCATTTTATAATGAAAACACAGAAATCCCAAAGCAAAGAAAACACAATCTTCGCTTAAACATATTTGACCTAGGAATCTCCCTTCCCCTTCATAATAACTGTTAATATCTAGTTGAACTAATGTTCTGAAGCTCACACAAGAATAAAAATTTAGTATTAAAACATGAATAATGTGTCTCTCTCCCCATTTAAGTGATTCCCTAGGACAAGAATCCACGTCACCTTTCCTGCCATTTAAAAAGATGAGCTTCAAGATCTGAGGCTGGAGTCCCTAATTACCTTGGGTAGGTCGTATCCAGCCAGGGTGGCATCAACTGTCGCTTCTCTGGGCACATTCAGGGGGAGGATATTTCCCATTCTCTGCACCTCATGAACGACAGCATTGGTGTAGGGCATGAACTCCCGGGAAGTCATGCTGGGCACCTGTGACTGGCCAAGGACTCCATCAATCTCAGCTTGTACTTTTTCTTGAAAAGAAAAGAACTGTCTATTATTCAATAACTTTCCTTGATCCTGATTAAGCTAAGGAATGGAATAACTAGGATCAAGATGCCTAACACTACAGTTTGTTCCATGGACTCTTGTCTCTCAAGGTGGTAGATACAGAGTGGAAAGCAGGCCGTGGTATAAAACAATTCTGGTTGTAAATTTTTGCTTTACCAAATTACTGCTGCAGGTTCCTTAAAACATCTTTGAGCTTCAGTTTCCTCTTTTTATTAAGTGAGACTAAATTTACCTCCATCTTAGGGATAGCTTGAGACTTATATTACGTGATTTAAGTGAGCACCCCAAAAATAATAGAAACTGCCAATTGTCCCCCAATGTGTTATTTTCCTTCGGTAATAGAGATTTTTTTTCTGGATACCTGGTTGTCAGGCCAAAGATACCATCTTCCAGATTCCCTTTTTGACTAGGAGTGATCATGTGACTAAGTTCTGATTAATAGAGTGTGTGTAGGAGGAATGTTTAATACTCCTCCCCTCCCCTTCTTCCCTGCTTCATGGTGGAAAAACAGCCTTCATGGGGACTGATTTTAGGTACAACACAACAATAACCCACTGGAGAGCATGGAACCCAAAGGGCTCTGCAGAGTGTGGTTCAAATGTTATACCTGAGGGCAATAAAATTCTATTTTTAAAAATACTCTAACTGTCCACTTAACAACATTTGAATAGTGGTAAAATACATATAACATAAAATTTATCACTTTAACCTTTTTTTTTAAGTGTACAGTCTAATAGTGTTAAGTATAGTCACATCATTATGCAACCAATCTTCGGAACTTTTTTAACATGCGGAACTGAAACTCTGTGTTCATTAAACAACAACTTGCCCTTTCCCCCAATCTCCCAGCCTCTGGAGAGTGCCATTTTACTTCCAGTTTCTATGAATTTAACTACTCTTGATGCCTCATATAAGTGGAATCACACAGTACTTGTCTTTTTGTGACTGGATTATTTAATTTAGCATAATATTTTAGCATGTGTCAGAATTCCCTTTGTTTTTAAGGCTGAATGATACTTCATTATCCTCCACATTCTGTTTATCTGTTCATCCATTGATGACACAATTGCCACCTCCTGGAGACTGTGACTAATGCTGCTATGAACATGGGTGTAAACCTCTATTGTCTTAAGCCACTATTATTTTGGAGGCTCTATTATAAAGACTAAGTCTGTATCTGAACTAAGCAGCTTTTAAGCTTTTAAAAAATAATGTAATTCACAGGTGCAAAGACATTTTGCATCATGACTCAGGACACACACACACACACACACACACACACACACACTTATCCTTAATACATGGAAAGCTCTGTGATATTTTCTATTCAATTTTTATTTTAGGAAAAAAAAATTGGTTTTGATTCACTAAATTCATGTTATATCTCTTTAATAAACTGTTACCCACAGTTTAAAAAACTGTATAGTAACAAATCTGATCTCTCTTCTGGGACCTTGAGAAAGAAAAGTAATTATAAGAGCCACTGTCATTGAATGAACTACAGTTTGTAGAGGAGATGTATAAATAATGTGCAATAAGCACTATAATGGAGGTGCATTAGGGTCATCTCTAGAGAAAAAGAATGCTAGTCATTCTGTATGGGATTGGAAAAACATCTTATGAGAGATAGCATTTAGCAGATTCTTCAAGCAGAGCTGGTGGTTCACCAATTAAGGAAACACATTCTTGTAGAGGAGGAGCAAAGCGGAGACACAGAGGCATAAATCGCAACAGTGCAAAGAAAATGACATGTGATTTAATGAGGCCACCATGCTGGGTGGATGGAGTTGAGGCTGGACTGGAAAGGGCATGTCAGAGGGTATGATTTCTCAAACTAAGAAGTCTGAACATTATCTACAGGGCACTGGAAGGCATAAGTTAAAAGGAGGGAAGGCTAGGACCAGGGTTTCTTTTCCTTCCTCTCTTCCTCCTTCCTTCTTTTCTTCCTCCTGCCCTTCCTTCCTTCCTTCCTTCCTTTCATTTTTTTCTTTTTCATTGTCTAACATTAACCTCCCCTAGAATCAGATTTCAGGTGAGAATGTAACTCTCTCTTGGAACTCACCACAATGTCAGTTAACTTCACTGTTTTCCCCCCTAGACTGCATTTCCTGAGGGCAGAGACTCTCTGTTATATTTCTATCATGTGGATCCATCACAATCACATCAGAAAAAATGCAGAATGTGCCCATTCTCAAGCCCACATGGCCTTGTGACCATCCTATCTGTCTTTCCAGCCTACAGTGTTATCTTCTGCGCCCACCTTTGGGGCAGGACGTTCCAGGAGGCACCACTGTGTCCTGGCCCAGGCACACTCACTGACATGCTCACCTTGGATCTCTGGGTAGAAGGCCATGTAAAGCAGAGCCCAGCGCAGCGTGGTCGAAGTTGTCTCTGTTCCAGCCAAGAAGAGATCCAGGGTGGTGAAGATGAGGTTTTCCTCATGGAAAGTGGAAGTAGCATCACCCGTATGCTAGAAAGCAACATGTTTATTAGTGGATTTAGAGGATTCTTGGTTACCACAGTACAGAGGGCCTTCATCCTAGGGAGAGTGTGTGGGAGGAGTGGGGAGGAGGGGGCCCTTGGAAGAAGGGCTTTCCCCTTTGGTCTCTTCAGAAGGCAGTCTTATTACAGCAATATTGTTAGCACAGTCCTCCCCAAGTGCTGGAAGCTTTTGTTAGTTTGAGTGAATCAAACTATTTTTTAATGCCCATAATTTGGGAGAAGCAATTAGTACAATGGGAAGAGAAGCTATCAGTACAGTGGAGAGATGGACTTGGGTTCCAAAATTAGCCACAGCATTCACTGTTTCTATGGCATAGGGCAAGTTACTTCACCTGCCTGTGCTTCAGTTTCCTGTTTTATAAAATAGAAATAGCAAAATAACCTCTGAAGATGACATCATGAATCATATGAGAAGCAAAGGTACACAGCAAATACCCAACAAATTTTTATACTGATACTAAAAAGAATAATTTTATACTGATACTAAAAGAATAATTTACTTCCTCTATGTACAACAAATTTTATATCTCTCAGTTAATCTTTTTCTTGTGGGTGAAAACTCTCTGAATCTATCTATCAATCATTCCTTAGGGCACCTCATCATTGTTGCCACCCTCCTCTGAAAGCTGTGATTTGTCAACATTCCTCTTACTGTGAGTCCCATACCTGCACACCATAGAGCAAGAGAAGTCTCTTCCTCTGAGCATAAACCAATGTTTCTATTAATATCATGCCAATAAGGTGAAATAAGAAATGGTATGGGGAGAAAATCCACCATTCTGCCAACTTTCGCAGGAGGAACAAATAGCGGGATAGACAAAATTTATGAAGTTGATGCAGTGAAGTATGTTAATCAGAAGGAGTACCATACTAAATGCCACACATCCAAGTTGGCTTTCCCTCCCTGTTCTTTCCTATAATGTTGGAAAGTGGGCACTATGGGGTCCCATTCAAGCCTTGAGGATAAAATCTGGCATCCAACTCAGCTTTCCTTGTGTTCTGTCCTGGGGAAGGAGCGGAGAGGTTAGGTAATTGGGCACAGGTCCAAGTAATTGGGCACAGGTCCAAGTAATAATAAAACAAAACACTGAGGCTCAAGTCTTCTTTTTCCTTTTTTAAATAGCTCCTTCAGATATGGGTAGAGGAGAGAGACAGAAGATGAAAAAGCAGTGTTTGGGCATTCCCAAGGCCTCAAGCCAAATATCACCAAACCCCTATCTTTATTTCTAATTGCCTCATCCATCCTGAGTTAATGCCACCCTTACACGCTATGAAATCCTGCCTCTATTTTTACCCCCCTGTGGTTAAGTTCAATCGTGACTCACAAAGATGTCCATGTCTAATCTCTGGAACCAGTGGAGGTTATATGAAAATAGGGATTTTATAGATATGATTAAGTTAAGGATCTTGATATGGGAAGAAAATCTGGAGAATACCAGTGGGCCCAATATAGTGACAAGAGGCAAGAGTGCTGTAAGGAGAAGATGTAAGAATGGCAGCAGAGAAGATGTTAACTGATGGCTTTGAAGAGAAAGGAGAGAACCATGAGCCAAACAATCCAGGCAACCTCTAGAAGCTGGAAGGGTCAAGGAAACAGCCTCTCCTAGAGCCTTCAAAGGAGCCAGCCTTGCCAACACCTTGACTTGAGCCCATTCCAACTGGCTTCAGACTTATGACCTCCAGAACTGCAAGAGAGTAAATTTGTGCTGTTGTAAGCCACTAAGTTAATTTGTTACACCATCCATAGGAAACCCATACATCTCCATTTGTTCTTCAAAAACAAAGCACAGGAAACAACTGTGGCTTTCTCACCTTTTCTATTTCCTCGAGGTATGCATCGATAAAATCTCTTGTTTCCTCAGGATTCCAATCTCTCTTGTGCTTTTCAATCTCGCGAGAAATAAACAATTTTAGCTTCTCCCATTTGCTGAAGAGCGCTTGGTGGCTTCCAGGAATGAAGTGCATTATCCGTGGAAAGGTAGTATAGAGCTAATTGAGAAAAACAGAACAATGACAGAGACATCATGGTCCCAGTTTCCCACTTTTAAGACAACAAAGATGTTCTCTTTCTAGCTCTTGTTTTCCTACACTTAGACCTTGACTGTTCTTATCTCTCTCATCCCTCTTCTTATCCCTCCAGGAAACCACTTCAAAGTTCCATACAAAATATATTTTTTCAGAATATTTCTCACTGCCCCAACTTCTCTATCTCCTCCTACAAACTACCATTTCTTATCTGGATGCTGTAACAGCCGCTAACAGTTTCTCTGATTCCATTCTTAACCCCATTCCCAGTCTACCTTCCACAGAACTGCCAGAATGATCATTTAACAGTGTAATCCAGTGATTTTCAGTGTGTGCAAGAATTTTTAAAATATGCAATGCCTGATTATGTAGTCAGAGGCGTAGAACTCTTTTTCCTTAGATTGTAAACGTTAAAGAAACTTACAACAACCAACACAATAGCCATCCGGTGTGAATGAATCAAAATTATACCTATATTTTACCAGATCAGCAAAAATATGTATTTTTGGTGCACTGCAGAATTTTAGTAATTAGTTTAAGTGTGCCATGAGATGTGTGCCATGAGAGAAGTGTTGAAAATCGCTGGTTTAACTGGATCATTTCACTTTTTGTTTACCAATTCTTCAATGACGTCCCAAGGCATGCAGGTAAACTGCTGCATCGTTACCTGGGCATCAAAGCTCTGCATGAGTGGGTCCCTGCACGCACCTGTCGCTCCCTGCCACCTTACCCTCACCAGTCCAGCCCCACTGGTCTCTGCATGGACATCCAGGATATTCTTGCTTAGGCCTTTGCATTTGCTAGTCCTTCCAGCTAGAAGGCTCTTCCTTGGAAATCTCTGGAACCCCAGCCCCTCACTTCATCAAGGTGCTGCTCACATGTCATCTACTCGGAGCAGCTTCCCCTAATGATCCAATGAGTAGCCACACCCCTGTCGCCCTTTTTCCACTCCATTATCCTGCCTTATTTTTCTTCATGGCATTTAACACTATTATTTTGTGATATATATACATATATATCATATATACATACATATATATGTATATACATATATACATACATATATACACATATCACAAAATTTTATATATATGTACAAATTAGATATATAAATTTATATATAGATATATATAAATTTAAATATATATAAAATACATATATATATAATTTTTTAAACATATATGTATTTGTTTGCTCCCACTAAGGTATAATCTCCATATGGGTAAGACATTTTTAAGGAAATAAAGTGGGTTTTGAATATATTTTCTCTAATAATATCTGGTAGAAAACAGCTAGCATAACACAATGGAAAATCACCTAGACTTAAGACATGACATAGGTTTGGCTATTAGCTCTGCTGCTTTCTAGCTATAACACTTTGGTAATCATAATAATGAGGAGCAGGAGGAGGATGTAACTTGTTGTTCCTTAGTTTAACCAGTTGCCAAAGAGTCCCCAAGGTACTCTGGTGGCCAAATGACATGAGATCCATGAAGCACCCAACACAGAGCCAGGGCGCCAACTGTCTGGATTTGCTCACACTTTCTCACATCTGCCTGTGCACACCGTGACGCTTCCTTTCGCCGTTAAAGGATTGCTGTGCAAATGAACTCAGATAAAGGATGTGTAGTTGTCCATCAAAGTGCCTGGTCTATTTTGGGACTCTAAGAAATGGTTATTGCCCTTACTCTGCTCTCCCTTCTTACCCTTCAGAAATTTCGTTTTCTTGGGGAAATTCAGCTGGGTACCCTGAACTCTCATGACTTCCTGGGTTCTGTCTTAATAGGAAGAACAAAAATGGAATCACTGAATTGGGGACGACCATGACTGGAAGTGAGAACAGGAATTAAAAAATAACTTTGACAATAAAAATAATAAAAATAATAGCTCACATTCATTATGGCCTTTTCACATGCCACGACTCACACTAATATCTTTATCCATTTTTGTGTGATGGATCCATAGAACTCCAGGCAAAGATGCTTGTCAGGAATAAATAAACATAAATCTACTTCTAGTTACCAGAGAGGTGACCTCAACACTTGGGGCTGATTTTTACATAGAAATGCCTTCCAAATCCAGAAAAGTGGCTGAGAGGCCAAGAAGCTGCACAGAGTTTTTAACAGACTCACAGGCTCCCAGGACAAAAACCAGATGCAGGGCCCACCAAGGATGGGGTGAGGTTTGAACCCCAAATGCCTTTACCCTATGAAATTAGGAGATTGATAATACCCTGTTGATGGGCATGTAAAAAGGGTAGCAGCTTTGGAAACCCGGCACCTTTATGTTCAGGTTTATATATGCAAGAGAAATGAATGGATGTATCCACAAGAACGATTATACTAGAATGTTTATGGCAGCTTTATTTATAACATTCAAAACCTGGAAATAACCCAAGCATCTTTCAAGAGAGAAGACAGTAGCAAACAGTGCAAAGCCATAAAATGGAGTACTCTTCAGAATTTTTAAAAAGAGCCACTAATACAAATGAATCTCCAAACAGGGTTGCAAAGGGGAAGCCAATCACAAAAGGAAACCTCTGAGACAGGCAGTCTGAGACAGCTGGGTTAAGGAGGGTCATGGGCCGAGGGTGTGGAGGTGCTCAAAGGCAATGGCACTATTGTCCTTTTTAAATAAAACAACATAAGTGCGCAGGTGTACGGCATGTAAAGTTCACTGCTTTACATGAATGTTAGAAATGTTCGTTGCATACAATAAATATTTAATTATGTCATCTAAAGCACAGATGTAGAGGCACAGATTGATTTCAGGTAAGTTTGTGTTGAAGTCAGTTTTAAAGACTTATATTGTAACTTAAAAAAAAATATCTGCATCAGACATCAGCCCCAATATCCCTAACCAAGGTATGAAAAGAAAAACCCTTACATGGGCCCACACTGATGTCTCTAGACGTATGACCTCATCCAGCAACATCAGCATTTCTTGAAACTGCTCATCCTGGTACTCAAAGCGTTTCCCAAAGGTGATGGAGCAAATAATATTGGAAATTGCATTGTTGATCTTGAAGTGAGGGTTAAAAGGCTGTCCTGGAGGTGGAGAAAAGATAGATCCTTCAGATAGGTTTGTTTCTGTTACCTACTGAGAGTCTACATGACATATCACATACCAAGTACAGAAATACCTCTGAGGCTCTGGCCTGTGGCACCCTAGAGTGGGTCAGACATACAGCAAGCACTCACTCAATGCCTAGAAAGTCAAACTGATGACCAGGCTTTAAAATCAGTAATGTTTTTAATGCCCATCTTCTTGGGCTTAATCCTAGAGCTCCATGAGGGCAGGGTCATGGTTCATTGTTCAGTTATATCCACAGTGCCCAACACAGTGCCAGGCACAGGACAGGCGCGTAGGTACTAAATAAGTATCTGTTCAGTGAATTAAAGAGCCACAGTCTCCTGCACTTGTCCGAGGGAACACTCACCGTTCTCTTCCTTTATTGCCTGGGCGAGGTGACAGACCTCCTCCTGTATGCGTTCCTCTAAGCTCCTCTTCCCTAAACCAAAGTTCCTTAGTGTTGTCAGGGTGAACCTTCTTTGCTCCTTCCATATCTGGCCATTGGACAGGACCAGTCCTGAAAAAAAGAAAGCCAACATCATGAAAAGAAAACCAACAAATGGTATGGGGATTTGTGTGAGACGGTAGAAAGGCAAAGGGCATTAGGCACTTGAAAAGTATTCACAGAAACTATTCACAGAGACCATCCCAGAGCAATGAATGTAATTGCTCGCAAGTACTGATTGTTGGCAATAACAGACACATTAGGACTTTTTATGCATTATGTAATTTAGTACTCACAGACACTCTGTGAGGTAAATGCAATAATCACCCCCCTTCCAATTTTGCTTATGAAAAAGCTGAGGCACAATGGATAAAATAAAGTTTACAAGGTCACACACACAGTTAGTAAGCAGCTGAACAGGCATTCAAGTTCACGTGTACCTGACTGCAAAGCCCATGCTTTCCTAGTCACATAGCTATATTTAAGTATTTATGTTGTGCTGCATACTAAGAATGCACCCATAGGTAAGAAAATCCATACTTGTAAAAAAGCAATGGTTCAGTGAGTCTTATAGGGGAGGCCCCATCTAAGCTGGACCTTCATAAATGAAGAGATAAATGAAGAAAGCAAGAGTGAATATCCCATGCAAGCAAATGAAATGACAACATCTTGGTGTGTTCAACAGACCATCATTTCTTTTAGAACACAGGTAAGGCCACACTCCTGTCATTTCTTCACTTCCAGAGCACTCTTCACTCTTCAGCTCCTTCTAATATCTGGCTTTGGCTCTACCCTCTCTATGAAATGGCCCTCCTTCCTGTCAAATCCAGGGTTACTTTTTAACCTCATTTTGCTTGGTCTTTCAGCAACATGGGACACTTTTTTTTTTTTCTTGAAACACTCTTTTCCAATGGTTCTCAGGACATTACACATTCCAGATTTTTCCCCTAATTCTCTGGAAGCGGAGAACTTCCAATATCTCTGGCTAGTTCATCTTCTACCCAATTCTGAAATGATGGAGTTCTTTGAGATAAGATCTTTTCTTACCTTACACTCCATTTCTGGGAAATCTCACAACACCAGAAAATTTAAATAACATCTATTGATAATGACCTTCTATTTCTATCTCTGAGCTCCAGACACAGATATACAACTGTCTGCTTGACTTTGCCAACGTTAAAGGCATTTCAAACTCAGCGTGTCCATGATGGAATTTATATGTTTCTCCATGTAACTCCCCACCCAAGCCAAACTTACCTTGTCCTCCAAATGCCCCTTCTTTCCATCAATATTCCCATTTGGATGTCTGCCTAAGCACTTCATTTTCCCTCTATTCTCCCTTCTTCTAGGTCATCATGTCCTACTGGATTTACCTCCTGAGATTCTTAAGTCCATGCATCTTCACTGCCACTGTCCCAGTTTAACCCACTGTACTGTCTTTTCTTGCTACCTTCCTAGTCCAAGCTACCACCTTCCCTAACGGAAAATGCTGCAACAGCCTCTTGCTTCCTTTATTTGAGTCTCTACATTGCAACCAAAATAAGATTTTAAAATGTACAATGTAAACATGATGATTCCTTTCTCTACTGAAAGCCATTAAGAGCTTCATTGTTATTAGGATAAAACTCAACATCCTTATCAAGAACTTGCATGAACTGTTCCTGGCCAAGCTCTGCAGCTTTGTCTCCATTTAATTATTCCATTTTATCCTGTGCTTGCCGTGCTGGCCACTTTTTCATTTCCTCAAGTTCACTGTCTTTCTTCTCACCTCAGGGACTTTTTATAGTCTATCCCCTCAGCCTGATTGCTTCTTCACTTTATTATGTTAATTGTCATTTACTTATGTTAGTTTTTCCTGAATCCCAGGACTAAATTAGATAACCCTAGTAAGTGTGTTCTGCACATATCTACAAAAAGGCTTTAGATTATTACAGTTAGTTAAGAGTCTTTTTCTCTGAAAAGAATTTGACTTACATAAGAATATGGATTTTTGTCTGTTCTACTCATTGTTTTATCACTGGTGCTTAGCACTGTGCTTCACATTGTAGATAATAAATAGAGTTAATGGATGTAGAATTAACAGATAAAGTATTTCAAAGAGGAATTGGGTAGCAACTGAAAAAATGGCACTTTGGTAGAGAAATAAATTTGAGTTTTTCATTTAGATTTTTAAATGTTTATTTAATGATAATTTAAACTATTCATGCCAAACTGTTCTAACGTAGATGGGAAGCCTTGATATACCCTGTGGACACAGCCTTAATGACAAAGCATAAGGACCTAGAGGCAAGAAGAAATGACAAAACAAGCGGAGGAAGCAGATCCACATGCCTTATCCTAGGGGAAGAGACCTGCAGTGGGCAACCAGAAAGAGAGGATATATTGGCTCTTTCTTTGCAGCCCAATCCTCTAAGCCCAGCCCAATCCTCTAAGCCCAGCCCAATCCTCTAAGAAGGAGCCTTCGTAGGGAAATGTGAGCATCAAGCTTCTACTAGAGGCAGGAATTTTATAATGGATGTGGTCTCCGGGGTGTGCTGAAGAAGTCTAATCACAGAGGCACCTTTAACAGACCTTAGAATTATTAAACATACATGTCTGACATTGGTCAAGAAACTTACCATTTTTCTTAAAGATACGTTCTCGAATAGGGGATATGGGGCGGTCCACAAATTTGTGGCCCTGGTGGATAAGGGCTTCTTTGATTAAGGGCAATCCAGTTACAATAACTGTAGGCCAGGCACCGAATTCCATGCTGAAAATATTCCCATATTTCTTCACATACTGAAAAATAAATAGTCACAACTGAATATGCACATCTTTCTGTGCATCCAAGAAATTAAGAAGTATGAGCAGCTGGAGGGCTTTTTTTGAGAGCATAGGTGTGTGTTCACTTTGATCTGATGGGAATGTTTTCCCTGTTTTATTCTCCTCTTCTCAACTACACTTGGATTTAATTCACGATAGGACATACACATACCTTATAAAACATTTATTCACATTGTCAACCTATACGAATTGAGTGAGCACCTTCCACTGTCCTGAAAATGAGTTAGGAAGATATAACTATAATAAAATAAACAAGGTCTCTAACCTTAACCATCTTAGAGTCTAATGAACAGAGAGAGAATTCAGCACATGTGACTCACCAAAGAAGGCTGACATCTGCGTAGAATAACTCTGGAATAGCAAACATGGAGTTCTTACTAAATCGTATGTGTTTAAACAAAAGAGAAGTCCCCTTTTTCAACATGTGCTAGGAGACAGAAAATTCATTATAGGACTGAGGCCAGGTCTGAAGAAAAGCACTCCAGCTCTGGAGCTGTTTGTGAATCTTAGCTCTACGGTTCACTGGCTGTGGGCTCTTGAGAAAATTGTCTCATTTTTTTTGAGCCTCAGTTCCCCAGCTATAAAAGGCAGAATATGATTCCTCCCTGAAATGGTTCTGTGAAGAAGAATGAGAGCAGCACCATGAAAGGCACTTTGTTTTCTTGTACCTGGTGCACCGCCACTCAAGTCTCAGGGATAAATGAGCTCTGTGGCTGCAGCGAGGACCAGAGCTCAGGGATGCGTGGGAGGAAGGCACTCCTGGTCACAGACGGACTCACCCACTGGATACCATCTTTCCATCTTTTAAGCATCTCACCCACTGGATACCATCTTACCATCTTTTAAGCATCTTTCACGTTTTATCTGATTTAATCTTGCAAGCACCCCATGGTAGTAATGATCTCCCTTGTCTCTCAGAAAAGGAAAACGAGTCATAGTTAAAGTAACATGTAGCCAAGGTGACAAAGCTATTGAGCGGTGGAAGGAATTTTCCAGGCAATGTGTAAGATATGAAGACAAGAACATGAATCTGAGGTGGCACCAGGACCTTAGTGTTTAGTGGGGACCTTAGAGTTTAGTGAGAGAGTGGAAGTGAGAAGAATGTGAGAGAGGCAGAGGTGAGAGAATGAAAGAGTGTGTGGGTATGTCACGAGTACGCAAAAAGGTGCAAGCATGTACAAGACTGGTTAAATGACAAGGAATGGTCACCAAAGTCTTTCCTAACCTGCTTATTCAAGAGAGAACTCTTGGTATAGCCTGCCCCTGCCTCTGGTCTGCTGAGCATGTCTAGCTGCAGGCAGTAGATTTGATAGAAGGGCTCCATTTCCTCCAGGTGTCTGGGGCCCCTCCTCTATGATTTCCATGCTCCCCCCATGTGCCCCTTATTTCCCTGGACCCCATCACTCCCATCAGAACAAACACAATGGATTCAGTCACATTCCACCATCTTTCTCCCACAATCCATTTACAAAATGGAATACTACTTGGCTGTAAAAAAGAAGAAAACTTTACCCTTTGCAACAGTATAGATGGACGAAGAGAACATTATGCTACGTGAAATAAGCCAGTCAGAGAAAGACAGGTACCATATGATTTCACTCATCTGTGGAATCTAATGAACAAACTGAACTAACAAGCAAAATAGAGACAGAGTTATAAATAGAGAACAAGATGATGGCTTTGAGCGGGGTGGAGGGATTTAGCAAAAAAAGTTAAAGGACTCACGGACGTGGACGTGGACAACGGTGTGGTGGGCAGGAGGGGATAGGTGGAGGGGGAAGAGTGCATAAGGCGGATAACTAGTAATGGAAAAAATGCAATAAAAATAAATAAATAAAAATAGTCTGAACTCAATCCTTCTATTGTTTTTTTGGCCTAGAGTCTTCCATCAGACTTTGTTCATCTCTAGCACAGTACACCATGTCTTGCTAGACTGAGCAGAGCCAACATTCCATCTCAAGCTGGTCTGCTTCTAAAATAAATGTCTTTGCTTCTAAGCAACTACAGGATATCTTGTTGAATGCTGGGATAAACTTCTTAGGCTTAATAATAAGGATTTCTTGATTACTTTATAATGTTCAATAAGGATAGAACAGCTGACAATCTCAGAGTAAGTTAAATGATTGCTAAATGACAGCCTCGCTTCTCAGCCTGTACTTGGAAGGGACTCAGCACTCCGTTAGTATTTACTGAAGTGAATTTCTTCGGAGTCCCATCTCTACCAGCTCTATGCCCTTGTATATCAATAGTCCAAGATTACTGGATCGCAAACTTTAACGGTATGATGAACTGTGTAAACATGGATAGGCCAAAGGACCTCCTGAAACCTTGGTGATATCCAACAATCATTAAATACACTGTGCCAGTCATTGCGTTAATTGCTGTACATGGAGATAAATGTATGACTCAAAGGGAATTTCAGAAGATTTAGTAAGGTAGGCCATACTTTTTAATGTATAACATTAAACAAGTCATTTAAAAAACATACAGTAAAGGAATGAATGTGGTTAAAAATAAAATGGTTTGGAAGGCTAACACAGGCTTACACTGAAAAAAGAACATAGAAAAATAAAGAGAAAAGTATTAACATAGGAGCTATATAAAGGGCAAACAAAAGCAGTAAGAGATAGGAAATTTAAATGAGGGGTAAAAATTTCAAATGTAGAATTAAATAATTAGGTGGAGAAAAAAATTGTTTAGAATAAAGAACAAATACAAGTGGAGGGTTAGTGATAAATGAGTTGAGTGAGATTCCACTTGCTCCACTTAAACTCAAAAACCATCAAAACAAAGACACAAAGAAACAAAAGAAAAAAAGGAAGAGAGTGTACTGATTCTTAATCCCACCAGTAGTAGGTGGGAGGGTCTGTTCCTCTGAATTCTCACCAGCACTGAGCAGTGTGTGCGTGCACACAATGCATGTGCCTATCATTTCAATAGGCTAAAAAATAAAAAAATAAATAAAATAAAAAGCATGTGTTTTATATATTTTACTAAGGTTTAACACTTTTTTTTTTTTACCAATATAGGTGTTGTATTTAAAAGAATTTTCTGTTTATGTTTTCTAAACATTTTTGTGTCAACAAGTTCAACTTTTTTATTTATTGATATGTATAAGCTCAAATAAAATGCTACAAATGAGTATCATTTTATTTTTATTACACAGGCATATGAAAAGATACAGACCAAAGTCCTACAGAGATATTGCTGAGAGCGTGTGTGTGATGGTGTGTGTGTGTGTGTGTGTGTGTGTGTGTGTGTGTGTGTTGGGGTGTGGGTGCAAGGACAGGGAAGAGTCTTTCTCATTCACTAAACTGAATTTTAAAATGTCTCAAAGTGAGTCTATTGCTTTTATAGTTAAAAATATTTTTATCCAATAAGACAAAAGAAAAAAAAAAGAAACTTAAGGAAATAAGAAACGAAACTTGGTAAGAGTACTTCTTAACTTTTCGGTCATAGAATCCTTTGGAAATTTAGTGTATGTTACGGGTCTGCTCTCCAGTAAAGTCCTGTATGCATGAGTAGTTATGCGTGCAGATTCAGGTCCAGTCCCCTGGGGCCCATGAACTCCCGATGTTTAGTCTTCTGCAGAAAATAAGAAGGCACCTCTTCCCCATGGAGCAGATATGGGTAGTTCTCTGACCTCAGCTTCCCCCACAGGAAGGAAGAGGCTACCCTAGCCATCCTCATTGTTCCCCGTCCCCTTCTCTCTACTCCGCACTGATGGGAAGGGAAGATGGAGTCCTGTGGGGTTCTTATTAGTAACACACTGTTGGCCGATGAGGGGCAGGGAGGAGACCAGAATAGCACTGCAGGGGCTTTTGCACCTAAATTGACATTTGAACCACAATCCACAAAAGTGAGGATTCTGAACATAAACCCTTTGACTACCTGCCAAAACAAAAGATTTACATAATATCCAGAGTCATATAACATAATACACAAAATGTCCAGGATATAGTCCCAAATTATTCACCTTACCAAGAATAAAGAAAATCTCAACTTTAATGAGTGGACACCAATACTGAGCTAATACAGATGCTGGAATTATGAGATAAAGATATTAAGACAGCTAGTATAAATGTTTTGGTAAAAAAATATAAACACTCTCAAAAAATTTAAAAATAAAAATTCTTAACAAAGAAATAGGAAATATATATAAGAACCAAAGGAAAATTTTAGAAGTGGAACATACAGTAATCTAAGAAAAAAACCTCAATGAAGTAACTCAACTGCTGAGGGGTAATGACAGATGAATCAGTAAAATTGAAGACAAATCACAGAAAGTTTGGGAAAAATAGAAAAAGAAACTGAGACTCAGGGAATTCTGTTAGAAAACAAAGGCTCTAACATTTGTGCTATTACTGTTCAAGAGTTCCAGAAATAGAGAAAAATTCATGTGGAGTTGAAAAAATATTTGAAGAAATAATGGCTGAAAAATTATCAAATTTGGTAATAATCAAACCTATAGATTCAAGAATCTCAGTGAACCCAATAAACACAAAGAACTGAACACTAAGAAATATCATAATCAAATCTCCAAAAACTAAAAACAAAACAAAAAAGCACTCAGATAAAAACAACTCATTGCTTCTGGGATAAAACAATTTAAAAGACAGCAGGTTTCTCATCAGAAAACATGGGAGCCTGGAAGAAGTAGTACAACATTTAACAATGTTGAATGAAAGAAACTGTCGACCTAAAATTCTATTTCCATAGAAAATGAACTGCAGAAATGAAGGTGAAATAAAGACATTTATGAATGAAAGGAAAGAAAATGTTTTGCTAGCAAACCAGCTCTAAAAAAATGATTAAAGAAAGTTCTTTAGATACAAGGAATAGTAACGGTAGAAAACTTGGAACACTGGGAATGTAGAAAGAGCAACAGAAAGGGTAAATAAATGGTGAAACATAATAAACTATTTCTTTCCTCTTGAATTAAAAGAATTGTGTTTCACAGCTAAAAACAAAATTATAATATTGTCTGATGTGGTTCTCAATACATATAGAGGTAATATTTAAGAAATTTATATTGTAAGACATGGAGGCTAAGGAGACCTACACTATCATAAGGTATCTATATTCTACTTGAAGTGGTAAAACGTTGAAACTAGGATGCTGCAATAAGCTAAGTATGCAAATTGCAATACTTTAGAGCAACCACTTAAAGCAAAATACAAAGAGATATACTCAAAACGCTAAATTAAAATGGAATCCTTAAAAAAATGTTCAAGTGACTCACAGGAAGATAGGAAAGAAGAAACAAAAATGAAAAACAGGAAAAATTGAAAAAATAATAAAATGGCAGACTTATGTTTTAACATATTAATAATTACATTAAATATAAATTATCTAAATTCAGCAATTAAAAGAGATTGGCAAACTAAAATGATGACCCATGTATATGCTATCTATAAGAAGCTCATTTCAAATGCAAAGATATAAGTAAGGTAAAAGTGAAAAAATGGAGACATATACACCATGGAAATACTAATAAAAAAAAGAGCTGTCATAACTATATTATATCAGATAAAGTCCAGGCAAATAAAATCAGGATGTTACATAATAATTTAGGAGTCAATCACCAAAATAACAAGATAATTATAAACTGTATTCACTAAATAAACAGGCTGCCAAATACATAAAGGAAAAATAAACAGTACTGAATAGAGAACTACACAAACCTGTAATTATAGTTGGAGATTTCAACTTGACTCTTCTAATACTGTGTAGAACCAGTAGATAAAATGTCAGAAAGGGTATAGAGGAATTAAACAACACAGTCAAGCAATAAAAATCTAACTGATATATTAAAACACTCTGCCCAACAGCAGCAGAATAGAGATGACCCTTGAACAATGGCAGGATTAGGGGTTTGGACATACTGCACAGTTGAAAATCCACATATAACAAGCATCCTTTTTTTTTTCAAGTATGCATGAGACTGTATCTTGGGTCATAAAGGCAACCTTAACATATTTTTAAAACTTGAAATTATATGAATATGTCCTCTGACCATAATGGAATAAAAATGGAAATCATTAACTAAAAGAAAACTGAAAAACTTCCCAATTCTTAGAAATTAAACAATGGATTTTTTAAACTAGGTACAGATTTAGAAGCCTAGCTTTAAAATTCTATGACTAATCCTGTTAGTGTTACCAACTGGGTGTCACTCCAAGAAACTGATAAAATCTTCTCCATCTGAACCTGAGTATATAGGCATATGTTTAAAGTGCCCCAGGCATTTCTAGGGGAACTAATCTTTTTGCATGTCTATTATGAGTCATGTTACCATTGCCCATTCACTGTTTTATTTAGTTTTCAAAAACCACCTATTACAGTATTGCCTCTCAACAAGGTACCTGGGCTGAGAAGCAGAAAACCAGTTGAGGATCGTTGAGAGTGTGCTGGATGTTGGAGAAAATTTTCGGGATTTCAGAGTGGCCCTAGTTAGGAAGCCCTGATGGGAGATTATTATAAAAGAGTGGAAAGAGGTTGTAAGGGTTCCAAGTGGCTTCCAACGGAGTCTGAACTTGCCAAGGAGACAACATCCTGAAGCGCTAAGAAAATCTGAGCTGAGGAATGACATTTTAGCATAGAGCATAATTACTTTGAGACAGGTGACTGCAGAACTTGAGGGACTCTGTCATTGTGGTTGGTGGGAACAATTCAGTTGAAAAGTGGTGAGGATTTAGGTAGTATTATTATTTTACACATGGGAAATGGAACATTTAAGAAGGAAAATACAACTTTTTTCCCCTCAAGGATAACAATATTAAAGAGGACAAGGTGATCATACTACAGTAAGATGTTCTGATGATATTTAACAAGATACCATTAAATGAGTTGAAAAAGGTAATATGCCTAGCACACAAATGGTAAACAGTTAACAATATTTCATCCCTAGAAAGGGCAGGTGGAATCATGCCAGTTGAGGAAAATGAGGCTCAAAGTGGGGTTTATCAGCGGACTGGCCTTAGCAGCGGAGCCACCCATCCTCCCGCCCTCAGTCCTCGGGATAGCCCTCGACCTGCATGCAGGTCACAGTCAGGACTCGGGATCCAGAAGCTTGGCCTGCCTCCTACCTTCTGAAGGGACAGATGCGGCTGCTTAAAATCCAGTTGGAAGAAGTTCCCAAAGAAAGGCACACTCCTGGGCCCTGGCGGGTAGTTCTTTGGGAGCCGTCGTCTTCTGAAGAAATTTGCAAGGACCAGGAAGACGACGGCACCGAGCAGGAGAGTGCTAGGATGGAGCGCTCTCCAGACGGCCGCCACTAGGGAGCCCATCGCCCTGAGCAAGGCTGGGCTTCTCGCTTCTCCGCGGTCTGAGCAAGTAATACTGAGGCCTGTCTCCGTACGTGCAAACTCATCAGCACCGCCCCTCCCTACCCTGCACTCCGCAGCTTCCCTTCCCAGCCACGCCCCGCCCCACCGAACTTTGTCCCTGAACTTCGCCTGGCCCCGCCCCCTGCCGTGCTGGGTGAGCCACCCTCTTCACCCCTCCTCCTCTCCCCAGCCAGCAGTGCTGCGGCCAGATGCCAGGCGCTGAATTCCAGGGAGAACCCACGCTGGTCTTGGAAAATCTTATCCTGGGACTGTTGTGGCTCTTTTATTTATGGTTTCAAGGCATCTCAGAGGCCGTCACCAACACTTGAGCTCCGTGTTTTTCAATCATAGTGACACACAAGGCTCAAGGGTCTGAACTGTGCCTGGTAAACAGTCAAGCCAACAGAAGCGGCTGACAGTTCTTGGCCACTTACACGCCAGATGGCGCACTTGCCTCTTTATGTCAATTACTTCATTCTCACAAAATTAGGTGATGCTCTTCTTAGTCCCATCTTGCATTGAGCACACAGACAGGTTAAGTACCAAATAGGTGGTGAACCCTCTGGATTGCAAAACATCTAAACGAGGTTCTCTATCTGTAACTATTCTGAAGATAAAGAACTTTATATGAAAGCTCCTAGCACAGGCCCTAGGTCTTTATTTGTGATTAACACTCAAGAGAGGTATCTTTCCAATGTCCAGAGGGAGATACTAGTCAGACCTTTGCTTTTATCCTTCTACCCTACATCTTCCTTTTACTACAGTTTTTATCCATCCATACAATGTTGCGATGATTAATGTAACTATTATTTTAAAAGAATTATTATAGAACTATTTTTTAAAAGAACCTCAGTACCATGTGTTTGAGATCATTCCAGGTTGCTATGTGTCGTTTTAGTTCATTCACTTTAACAGCTCTGTAGTATTCTGTCATTAAGTCAGTTTTTTAAATTGAGTTTCAGGTGCACACCTTGATGATTTGGTATTTGTATACATTTGGAAAATGACCATCACAATACATCTAGTTAATATCTGCCACCATACATAATTACAAAAATTGTTCTTGTGATGTGAACTTTTAAGATCTAATCTCTTAGCAACTTTCAAAAATGCAATACAGCATTATTAACATAGTCCCTGTGCTGTGCTTTACATCCCCAGGACTTCATTTATTTTATAAACTGCAAGTTTGTGCCTTTTGACTCCCTTTACTCATTTTGCCAGCCTTCCACCCCCTGCCTCTGGGAATCACTGATCTTTTCACGGTATCCATATGCTTGGGTTTTTATTGTTTTATTTTTAAAGATTCCACATATAGGGAGATCTTCCTCTGTCTGCCTTATTTCACTAAGCATAATGCCCTTGAGGTACATCCATGTTGTCACAAATGGCAAGATTTCATTCTTTTTTTAATTGTTGAATAATATTCCATCAAATATATAAAAATTTCTTTATTCATTCATCCATCAATGGACATTTAGGTTGGTTCTACATATTGGTTATTATAAACAATGTTGCAAAGAACATGGGAGTGCGTATCTCTTTTCAAGTTAGTGTCTTGCTTTCTTCAGATAAATACCCAGAAGTGGAATTGCTGGAACATATGGTAGTTCTATTTTTATACCATAATTTCTTTACCCATTCCATATCGATGAAAATTTGTTGCTTTTCTTCCTCCTTCCTTTGGATTTTTTAAAAAATAGTACAGCATTAAAATAGTACTGCAGGTAAGAGGTTATGCCTAGGACTTCAATGGATGATGTCACATATAAGATTAGATTATCTTTATTGACTTCTCATAGACTTTATATGAAGGAAGTGCTGGAATTTACACGAAAGCTGCAAGAATGAATAGTTTAGATGGGTTTGTAGCAAACTAACTGATTTAAACTTCTGTAAGAAGAAAAATTAAGACCACTTATTTGAAAACAAAAATTATGCCACACTTTCCAATGTGCTTTCTCATTAGTTCTTTTTTTTTCATTTTTATCTAATATTTATTGTATTTTCTTCAGTCCTCTTATACCTCCTCCCTCTAGCAGTCACCGCACTGCTGTCCACTTTTTTACTTCTTGCTCAACCTCTCCACCTCTGAACCCCTGCCCCCAAGCTGTTACCGTGCTCTCCATCTGTGAGTCTGTCCCTATTTTCCTTGTCCAGTTCAGTTCAGTTTGTTCATTAGATTCCACATACGAGTGAAATCATATGGTATTTGTCTTTCTCTGACTGGCTTATTTCACGTAGCATAATGTTCTCTAGGCCCATCCATACTGTTGCAAAAGATAAACTTTTCTCCATTTTTACGACCCGGTAGTATTCCACTGTGTAAATATCCCATCGTTACTTTATCAACTCATCTACTGATGGGCACTTGGGCTGCTTCCATATCTTGGGGATGGGAAATAACGCTGCAATGAACACAGGGGGGCTTATGTTCTTCCAAATTAGTGTTTTGGGTTCCTTCAGATATATTCCCAGAAGTGGGATGGCTGGGTCAAAAGGCAGATCCATTTTTAATTTTTTGAGCTATCTCCACACTGCTTTCCACTGTAGCTGCGCAAGTCTGCATTCCCACCAACAGTGCCAAAGCGTTCCCCTTTCTCCACATCCTCACCAGCACTTGTTGTTTGTTGATTTATTGATGGTAGCCATTCAGACAGGTGTGAGATGGTGTTTCATTGTGGTTTTAATTTGCATTTCCCTGATAATTAGTGATGTTGAGCACCTTTTCATATGTTTATTGGCCATTTGGATGTCCTCTTTGAAGAAATGTCTATTCAGGTTCTTTGCCCATTTTTTAATTGGTCTGTGTGTTGTTTTGGTGTTGAGTTTTCTAAGTTCTTTAAAAATTTTGGGTATTAACCCCTCATGAGATGTATCAGTGAACATGTTCTCCCATTCAGTGGTTGTCTTTTCATTTGCTGATGATTTCCTTTGCTATGCAAAAAATTTTTAGTTTGATATAGATGCAGAAAATCACTTGATAAAATCCAGTATGAATTCATGAAAAAAAAAACCCTCAGCTAAGTGGGAATAGAGGGAACATACCTAAACATAATAAAGGCCATATACAACAAACCATTGTCAGCATCATACTCAAATGGGAAAAGCTACAAGCCTTCTCCTTAAGACTGGGAAAAAGACAGGGATATCTGCAAGACAGAAAATGTATTGTAGTTATAACGGTAGAAGAAGGGAGAAAGGTTAAGGAGTCATTGTGGGCATTGTAGTGAACAGGCTGATGATAATGGCTAATGGTGATGGTAGAGAAGAAGAAGAGAATCATATGGAATTCGGGGTGTGTTTTTGGAAGTAGCATTGTTAACATGAGCCTTTTAATGGAAAGAGTCATAAAAGTAATGACGATGATAATATTTTGAAAGATTTTGCTCAATCCTCGTTACCACACTCTATATTAGATACTTACTGTTATGAACCCCATTTTACAAATGAAAGGTAAAATATCTACTTTTTAACAATTAAATAAAACTATATCAATATTCTGATTGTGGGTAGTAATGCTACCTGTTGAGATAGGGAAAACAGAAGGAAGAAAATGTTTGATTAGGAAAATATGGCTCTTTTGGCCATGTTAAATTTGATACATTTATTAGATATCCAAGTGGATATATCAAGTGGACAGATGAATGTTCAGGTGTGGCAATCTGGAAAGAAGTATTTTTAAGTCATGGGCAATCTGGAAAGAAGTATTTTTAAGACACTCTTCCCAAATGTATGTATGGAAAAGTAAACAGGTCCCGGAAGAGAATAAAGGGTGCCAGTATGTAGGAGTGTGTAGGGTAAGTGGAGGCAGTCTGTCTTCCTCACCCAGGTGTCTGGGTAACTAAGGGAAGAAGTTTCTCACAACCTTAAAGGGATCTGATAATGTAGTGTTCTCATAGCCTTGAGTCTGGGTCTCATAGCTTGAGACTGGGTCCGATGAATGATTCCCATAACATGAAGTTGGCTCACATGAGCAGCTCATGCTACGTTACCTAACCATTTGTCCTGTAGCCATTTGTTCCTTCTAGTACTTAAGAAAGTATGGGCTTCTCATGGGGGTGCAGACACAGACACAGAGAAGGAATGCAAGGGCCCACACTGGGTGCCACACAGAGGGGAGAAGTGACATGCAGTGTGACATGCAGCATGCAGCATGCATGGATCATGCACCCATGAAGAAAGGCATGTCAAACATCCCAATGGCTCCGTGAATATTCTTTCATATGCACAAATCCCATGAACCTGTCCAGCCCTGAAGGTTGCAACACAGAGTGGAAGAGAACAGAAGCCATCAAGAGTCCTTAAATAAAGACCAGACAAGTGGAGAACCAGAGAGAAAGCCTTTGTAACTGCTAGCTGAGTTGAGAGTCTGAAAGTGCAACAGTGGTTAGCAGATGTTATGCAACCATACAGATCGGTCAAAAGAAAACAACATGGAGGAAGAGAAATAGAAAGTTGGAACAATGCAGAGATTAGCTAGTAGTTCTCTGTAGATGGCCTATGGGTAACAAATCTGGGAAAGTACATTCAGAACTTGAAGTCTGGCAAGAAAACAGAATTTCAGCAAGTCTGCACAAGTACATGCCACAATTTCTGGTTTAGCAAGAGAGGCCTGGAGGATCTTGAAAAAATTTTGCAAGACTGTAAGCCTGCACCGGAGTAGGAGGAGATGAAGGAGCATCTGGCATCTCAGAGGACATAAGATAGAGAAAAGATTTTTAGGAAGGGAAATGGTCAATGTTGGATTTGTGAAGATAGAGTAACATGAGAGCAGTGATATGATACTCCTTTGTGTTGTCAATGTGGAAATCTCTGATCTCAGAGTATCCCAATCGAGTGCCAGGAAAGAAAGCTCATGGTCTGCCGCAAGGATGGGAGCTGATGAGTGGAGACAGCATTCAGAAAGTAGCTGCATAGGTACATCCTTTTAATGTACAAACTCTTGCTTACCATAAATATGATCCTAAACTGCAATTTTCACTTAATAAAATGTCTCAGCAATCATTTTAAGTATATGTGGATCTGTGCAGTTTCAAAAAGTGG